GGGCGTTGCAGGTCGCCGGCCTCGCTTTCCCAGGTGCCCTTCGCTCTGATTATTGGTAGCGTTTGGTTTTCGGACGCCTGTGATTTTACTTTGTGGGATTAAATTGACAATTCCCAGAGGCAGCTTCTGGCCCTCGGCCCTCCGGTCCCCTGGCTGACCACGCACGCATCGGCCCTCCTCCCCGAGGCAGGGCCCGCTCCTCCCCTCCTCCCCCTCTGAGCTTCCCACCCACTCCTCGTCCCCCACTGGAGGTCCAGGCCGTCTGGTCTCCTGAGACCCTCTCCAACCATCAGAGAGCGAGACTGGCTCTGGCTGAGGGGGGCCTCCATGGCCTCCCTGGCTGTCGTTTGGACAGTGTTAGGTCTGATCGAGCAATTGAATCGATAGCCCCTCCCCTGGGAGCTCACCTTTAGACACTTCACATGGACATGCCACTTGCTTAGACCACAATCCACCTGCTAAGACCATTCTCTCCCCTCCCCCCCAAAACTTCCCAGAATCCCGACCTGCACAGAGAACTCTCCGCCCAGAAAGCCCGCCTAGAGTCCTTTAAAAGCGCTGACTCTGAGCGAATAAATTCGTAATCCCTCACCACCCTGGCCTCGTGCGTCCCTCCTTCGGCGACCCTAACAGGCAGAATGGCGGAATCTGGAAGGGCTGCCGTGGCACAGGCTTCTGAGCTTCTGCCCTAACCGGTGCCGTGCTCTGGCCGCGAGCGCCCCCCCGCAGAGCGTGCGGTGCTGAGTGGACGCGGGGACGTCTCCCGGGGAATGCTGGCACTGGGCCCTTGCTCCCTGTGTGGGGAGCACCTGCAAGTGCAGCGGGAGGGAGGGCCCAGGGGATAAAGGGCCGTGGACTGGCTGTCTGACCTGGGGCCGGTCAGCAACCTTCCTCAGCCTCCGTTTTGTCATCTGTAAAATGGGCGACAGTCCCAGCACCATGGCGTCTGGGGAGCTGAGTACCTCACTCCATGTCTATCAGCCTGTTACAGACCCCATTGCTCACTGTTGCTATTGGACGCTGTCACTCAGCCATAGTTACTCAGTCATGGCCACCGTTACTCAGGGCTGTCACCCAGCCATCACCACCTTTACTCAGGGTTGTTACTCGCTGTCCTCACCACCATTACTCAGCCATTGTTAGTTACTCAGTCCTTACCACCGTCACTCAGGATTGTTACTCCATTATCACCACCATCACTCAGGGTTGTCACCCGCTGTCTGTTCAAACCTGGTGCTGTTTCTTTCTGTGTGTGTGCTTCCATGTGGAGTTTTGAGAGTTCTTATCTCACCCTCGATCCAGGGGCACCGGCCTGGGAGGCAGCTGGCCTCGGGGACGCCCTGCAGTGAGGGAGGGGGCCAATCACTCAGGGTTACTCGCTGTCATGACCACTCAGGATTGTTACTCCATCATCACCACCATCACTCAGGATTGTTACTCCATCATCACCACCATCACTCAGGATTGTTACTCCATCATCACCACCATCACTCAGGGTTGTTACTCACTGTCATGACCACCATCACTCAGGATTGTTACTGGCCATCATCACCACCATCACTCAGGGTTGTCACCGCCGTCTGTTCAAACCTGGTGCTGTTTCTTTCTGTGTGTGTGCTTCCATGTGGAGTTTTGAGAGTTCTTATCTCACCCTCGATCCAGGGGCACCGGCCTGGGAGGCAGCTGGCCTCGGGGACGCCCTGCAGTGAGGGAGGGGGCCACCGGGGCTCATGTCCAGTCTCTCACATCCTTGACGCTCCCCCCAATCCCTGCCCTGCAGCCGCCCTCCGCCCCGCCCAGTGCCCGTGGCCATCCAGCCCAGCCTCCCCGGCCTGAGCCAGAGGGTCCCTCCCCAGCCCGGTCGCCATGTGGACACCCTGCTGGGCCTGCTCCGG